TATTGTGCCCATAGAAAATGTATTTTGACAGGACACATTATGCAAAACCACAATACTGGGGATGATTAAGAAATGCTATCATTATTGTGTGAGTCCAGTGAAGAAATATTAGTCATTAAGCAGCCTTCAAATCATGTTTACATGTCCTATTGCACAATCCAGGTGGAAAAGTTCTCTGTTTATCCCAACTGAAAAAGTCACTGTATCTGCTTCCCTATCAGTGATTGATGAATTCAAGCCCTCTGAAATTGGTTTCCATGTCAACCTCAAAAAATCCCATAACTGTTGGGCTTCAAATAGGAGCGCATTATTCAGTGTGAGTAAGCTAGCTGAAGCACATCTATACTGGATGCATTGAGATTTCATACAGTGTAAAAAGGCTCTACATACAGTACAGGAACATGTGAATAACGCTCAGGAGGTGCGGGTCTACATGTTACTCTCTGTGAGAGAGAGAGAGAGAGCTTTGTGATAAAACAGTGTGTTGTCCTTGTGTGGGTGTATGAATATACTGATCAGCACTGTGTGCCCTCAGCCTATGTAACGTACGCTAGATTTATCATTGTCACTTAATATCCTCATAAACATTCCCTGCCATGTCAGCCCCCACACACACCCACACTCTCACACACACACGGCTGGCTCTGTAAATTGGGCCTGTGTAAACCATTCGGCCCGTCTAAAATACAGTGCGGCAAATTGAAATCCCCAGTAAGCCTGTGTAGCGGCATGTCACAGCTGGGTAGGGAGGAGGTAGAATAGAGGTTTTTTTTCTCATTTACCACCTGGAGGTTTTTGAAGTGTCATGACCAGCTACACTCTCTTGGTCTCACTCTGTTTTTTTTTTCCTTTAACTCCTTCTTTCTTCCTTTGTCTGTCCCTCCCTTCCCCTTACTGTTCCTGTTTCCTCTCTAGCTGAAATACCCTTTGTCAAGTGTTGTATTCAATCCCCATCGTTCTGACACACAAGAATTTGTATTTTTTTATATATTTGAGAAGCGGGGATCCTACAGGCTGACAAGGTGAGGATAAACAGCAGTCACAGAAACTTCCTGGAAGAAAAAAACAAGCTCGGTTTATTAACCTCCTGTAGGGCAACCAGAGGAAGCAGAGAGAGAATTCGATTTATCACTAAAAAGAGGAAACGTTTCGGGTTGGAGATGTGTGCTTGTGGGTTGAAGTAACGTGTTCCTGCATTTTTCAGGCCCATGTTTGTTCAGGCTGTGCAATAATAATAAAAAAAGTATGATGAACGCTGGTCACTTTCTACCCAATACAGATCTGACAGCCTATCACACAGCGGGAAAAAAAGAATAAGCTAGTCATTCTACAAAAGATTTTGATAGTTTGCATGAAAACCATTACTACTAACTTCTTTATTACAGTGCAAGAAACATCACCATCCTTTTTAGAACTTGTCTTTGTGAAACTATTAAATATAATATGATGAAAATTCTAAAGGTTTTTTTTTTATTTCAATTCTAAAAACACACAGATATGGTCTGAAGACTGATGCACTTAATGATATTGATGTGAGTAATAATCCTCATGATGACGATAACAATGATATTGAGAATATTTTTGATGTGAATTAGAATATTTATAATGAAGACGATGCTGTTGTTGATGATGATGATAAATAAAATGCTTAGTGAATTACATCTATGCACAGCCTGTCAGCACCGGTGTCCAATCTGGCTTGAATCTTTTTCATTGGCACTAACTTGTGTTGTTACATCCTGTCTAGATCCTTGCTTGTGCTGTTCTTACTCTTAAGACGTACGTTACTTTGGCAAACATTGTTATTCTAGTCATCACACAAGCAATTAGCAATGTGAGCAGAGTTTGCGGCAGCTCAACCTGCAGCCCTGTAATCGGATCTAAAAAAGCAAAGGCTACATTTTTTTCCCCCTGCAAAAACAAAACAAGATTATTTTTTGGAGTATTTTACTCTTTTGGTGGCACGCCTCTATTTTGCTTATCCTTTAAATCTATCCTTTGCACTCCTTTAGGCTACTGGAATAAAAAAACAATTTTTTACCCTATAGCCCTCAAGAATCCTACATTAAACCCACTAACCCCATCCCATCATCCACCAAACCATTGCCCCTCCTCTGGGACCTGAAGCACCCATTCCGTTCTTCATCCTTGGGGACTCTTTTGGCTTTTTTTTTCTCCGCCCCTTGGATAACTTCGCTCCCTGACTTCTCATCCAACATTGTAAGTAACGGGCTGGTTTTGACCCTCCATGCCTCGTTGTGTAAGATTTCAGCTTCTGACCTTAAAAAATGAAAGCAAATCAATAGGGCGGGACGCATGAATTCCAAAGCCCAGGATGCAAGCCAAAGCATGGAGCCCAGGGAGGAGCGGTAGGAGGAGGGCTGTGTGTATTACTGAGGGGCTAAAACAAAGAAGGAAAGCTAAAGAGAGAGGCTTTCAATTAACCTTCAGCGCTGACAGTCTGTGTATTCGCCTGTTTGTGCTGCCTTGTAAGTGTCACACAGTATGGTAAATGCTTTGTGGATAATTTAAGCTACAGTGGACTTACGGGGAAGACTAACAACATGGGACGAGGGGTGGGGAGGAAAAGGGAGGGGTAAGGTGAAAGTCCCAAAGTCGAGGTTTGAACTGCAGCTGTGCACATTCCAGTGACTTTGTGTGGGAGAAAATAACTCCCATGGAGCACTCAGGAGATTAAATTCTTCCACACTTGGACCATGACATGAAAACGTTGAGCGATCGGGGGCTAGTTCTGCCGCTTTTCATTCTGGCATGTGCAAACAAGACTACCAAAACAGTGTGAGGCACAATGGGCTGGAAGACAGGGGAAATGTGTGTCTGTGTCTTTATTCACTTATTGTAGACTGACTCATCAAAATCAACAAAAACCAAAGTCACTGGTCAGTGGTCAACTTGGGGTCAGTCCTATGTTCCCACATTTCTAAGATTTTTCTCAAAATTAGGTCTTGTGTTCCTACATTTCCCTTCAAATTAAGCCCTATCCTTCCACAAGATTTTTTTGTTTAGTTTGTTTATTTAAAAGGACAATGTGCACTTACATTAAATGTTTGGGCACACCAGATTTAGCTAAAAGCTACATTCCATCTGTAGTCCATTGCTACTGGATAATAGGTTGGGTGACTACACAATTGGGGGAAAGGGGGATAAAATCTGATACAAATTTATGAAAAAGGAAATGTGGGAACATAGGCACGCTCCCGTCAACTTTGACTGTTCCCACAAACACTTGACATGGACATACCCTTCAGGACTTGAGGCCTGACTTGAGACTTGTCTGAAATCACTTGACAGTTCAGTTTGAGCTGCCTCTCAGGACTAACAACAGGTTTGACGATGGCTCATTGGCTGTAATTACTGTTTTGGTTTCTGCCTGAAAAATTAGATTCTGCTGTCACGTGGGATTTGTGCCAGTGTACACGAAACTAAATGTACAGTATATGTGTGTGTGTGTGTGTGTGTGTGTGTGTGTGTGTGTGTGTGTGTGTGTGTGTGTGTGTGTGTGTGTGTGTGTGTGTGTGTGTGTGTGTGTGTGTGTGTGTGTGTGTCGAGCTCAGCACAGCAAGCGGCTGCCCATCAGTTCCACTTAGCTCAGCGTGGTAATTGGCCGTCCATTGATGGACGTGCCTCCCTCTTCACGCTCTGGGGACCCGGGCTCTTTGTCTGGGGAGAGAGAGGCAACACGCTGGCATGGCACACACACTTAAAATAGCGCATCAAATCAGCTATGCTTTGGAAGCCGCTGCTAACGTGTGCGCCGTATTGGGTGGGCTGATTTCCAATGTGTCTGTGTGTGTGTGAGTTATAAAGTGTGCATGTTTTTTTTTTTTTTTAACACCAGAGTATGAAGTCCTGTTGCTCACTCGAGGGAGGATAAAGGGTTAAAATGGTTAACTGGAGCTGGTGACGGTATTTAGTCATGTCCCCTCTCTCCCTGGCCATTTTTTATTTTTTTTTCATTTCTGTTTCATCCATCACTCGCTCACTTTATTGCAGTATGCATGGTCTCTCTCTCTCTTTTACCTCGCACACTTCTTGGTCTCCCTCCCTCTCGTCCCGCTCATGCCCACAGGGCCCGCTTCTCCCTCTCTGTCACTATGTGCAGTGTCCCTGCAATAGAGATCTAAATGGGCTGTGAGCAGGGGGCCCTGACTCTTCTATCATAAATCTACACTAACAGCACAACAGACACATGAGCAAGCAGGGGAGGGGAGAGTGAGAGGAAAAGGGAAGAGAGGGAATCACATATCTAACACATTTTGGATACATCTTGGAAGATGGAGATTAAACTGAAAAAGCATGTTGGTACTGAGATGTTTATGCAGCAGGCTGTGGAGGATTACTGCGTCGAGATGTGACACCCTGTGAGGTGTAAATTGTTTTACACTATTGAAATTGGTTTTGAGGGTATGAATCATAAGCAGGAAGTTGGCATCATTTAAAGCTGTTAGAAGCTGCTGGAAGTATATGAACTCTAATTTTAGTGAGACCCCTTGGTGACATGTTTACTTAAAATAAAAAGTAGAAAAGTTTGCACTTATGACTTACTAGAGGGGGAAAAAGCACTCTAACAAAGAACTTCATTTGCAATTTATTGCTATATATAAGCAAAAAAAAAAAGCGGCCAAAGGAAGTGAAATAAACATGAATATTTTCATTCTGAATGTGTCAACAGAGCTTTTCTGACTTCTTTGTCACCTTTGTTCTCTTCTTAAAGAAAAACTTTTCCCTTGACTGAGGTTAGATGTTTGATTTCCTGAAATTTTAATCATTAATTTTGCTGCCAAGTTGAATGTTTTCAACTCTCCTTGATCTCAGTCTCTCTTCTAGAAAAACAAAAAACATCTCCCCTCATAATTGCAGTGACATTGTACAGGTAGTGGCTGCTGTATTTTAGAGAGATTTGTTTTTCTGACTTGATCGTCCTGTGTCTTAGAAGTGTTTGTGTTAAGTCTTTCCTCTCTTCCCTCTTCTTCTCCCAGCAGCCCTATGCTCCTCCCCCTCACCCCATGGCTCCTCCCAGCCCGAGCACCAACAGCTGCAGCCAGGGAGGGGCAGAGCAGCTGAGTAAGACCAACCTGTATATCCGAGGCCTGCCACCTGGGACCACCGACCAGGACCTCATCAAACTCTGCCAACCGTAAGTTACTGTTACACTTCCTGTTAAAGAGCCCATATTATGCCCTTTTTGGGATTCGTATATTTAATCTATGTAGCTACTTTTGTACGTTCACAATAGATAAAGTTTGAAAAAAGTGTCTGTTTTCATGAACTGCTCCTCCTTGTTCCCTCTACGCTCTGAGTCTGTCAGCTGCACTCTGTTGAGCCCACACTGTTAGACCCCACATGGCCAAGTCTGCTCTGATTGGTCTGCCGATCCGCTCTATCGTTATTGGTCAGTTGCTCAGCACGCGTCTCGGAAATTTCAACATGAGCTGCTGGGCTTGCCACAACGAGCCAATGGGCTTAGATCAGTGATCTCACACTGACAATGACGCTGCACGGACACATTTTTATCAAGGGGGGCTAGAACCGAGCGTTACATGCAGCTAATGCTACAGCTAACAGGAGGAGGTAGGAGAAGCCAGGTTTCCGCATACTTTGAATTTTTGCACATAGATGTGCCTAAACATGCACAGGACACTTGGAAACACACTAAAGAGCATATAAAACCAGATAAAGCATAATATGAGACCTTTTAACATAAACTCCCCCCTGTAACACATGACACTATGAGGCATATTTCCTCTGGCTGGGGAAAGATTTATTTTTTGGGGCTTTTTTGTGCCTTTAATGCAGAGATAGGACAGTGGATAGAGTCGGAAACCAGGGAGAGAGAGCGGGGAATGACATGCGGAGGGGGGCCACGGGTGGAAGCGAACCCGGGCCTACCGCTCGAGACGAGGGTCTCAACACATGGGATGTGCGCCCTAACCATTGCGCCACCAGCGCGCCCCACCTCTGGCTGGGATTTGATGTAAATGTTCCCAGCATACATTGTTTCCAGCTCCCAGCTAATGTAACTAATGCCTAAATAAATGTCATCTACTTCAATTTATTTAATGTGGAAACTTGACTCTGAAAAAACTAAAAATCATGTTTCCATTCTTTCTCCACTGGGAGTTTATGTTCATCATTATGGCTGAGAAGTGATATCCGTTCTGAGAACTCAGAGCCACTAATTCAAACTGTCATCTTTAAAAGCAATTAATGGAAACAATATCTCAAGTTGAGTATGATTAAGACTTTTCACAGGGAGGGAAAACTCTCCTGTGCTGCCTGGCAGTCCAAATGAGTGGACAGGGTCATATTTCAGTTACTGTATTAAATGATGACAGACTGAAGACACATGAGACGTTTTGTGTGAAGGAAATCTTTACTTAGAAAAGATGGAAAATCAATGTATGTTTAGAAATATCAAGGATCAAACCAGGTACATGCATCTGTGTATATATGTAATAAATATTGTTAAATATTTAAAGAAAGAGTCTGCTATATACTTAGGCATGTAATTAGACCCCTGCAGCTGTCATCTCGGTAGACTATTCATGTAACATATACAAGAATGACATATTAAAGCTCTAAATGCCAAACTGATCAAACTCAAAAGTTCACCTTTGAGGAGAAAATTACAGGCTGGGGGAAAAAAAAAAGTCTATGCACAATACCTTGCACACCTCATTAAACTGCTACCAAATGAGTGTATTTTAGGGACACACACAAAGGTACTCATAAAGCCCTGCCAAATGTTCTTGATAGAGAAAACACGGCCACACACACCTGCCTGCACACAGCTCAATACGGCCTAATAAAGCTTAGATTGGACCACCTCCCTCAGGAATCACAGACCAAGACCTCATCAGGCTGTAACAAACAGTCACAGGGGCTTTCTCTCGCTCTGTGTCTCTGTCTCTCTCTCACTCACACACACACACACACACACACACACGGACACTCTCACACGGACTCACACACACACACACACACACACACACACACACACACACACACACACACACACACACACACACACACGGACACTCTCACACGGACACACACACACACACACACACACACACACGGACACTCTCACACACACACACACACACACACACACACACACACACACACACACACGGACACTCTTACACGGACACACACAAGCCGCTTTGTTCAGCTCCATTAGGCCCTTTCGCTTCTAAAATGGTGAAAAGGGGGTCAAGATCATTAATGGAGACAGGGCCAGCAGATTGTGAAATACAGGCCATGAGCGAGTCTGTCTGGTTGCATAACCTTTTCTTGGCCACTTTTCCAGAAATGTCCCAGTCAAACGTAGCCAATTATTCAATGATGCTTTGGAGACGGGAACATGCTGTCCAGTATATTTGGTAATGCTCCCAGTAGCCGTGTCAGAAGTCATGCATTTATTCTTGATACTGACCCATCAAAATTCCATTAGCCTGAGAGGCGGCCCTGATAAGATTTGGAAAAGCACTCAGTGTTTTGACATTGCATATCTCTCTGCTTAGCTGCTACATGCACCCAGTTGTAGAGAGTTTCAATTTCATTTCTAATTCCATATGATGTTGAATATTTTTAACATACATACAAAGGGCAAACCATGTCAGAGCTTATGTAAAACATCCCAAGCGTTGTGCATACTTTTGACTTCAGATTTGCATCCTAATATGTAGCCTTTCCACTGTGTGCTGTATGCAAAGCTTTTGACTTTGTCTGCCATCGCTTGGATCTGCCTTGCTGTCCTCTAGTGTCTGTCCTCTTGTTCAACTGCATCCACAGCTCCTCTCCCATCCTTCCCCCGGTGTGTATCGCCTGCCTAACTGCCCCCAAGGTTGCCCGAGGTGTGCTGTGCCAGTTAAAATCCAATGCCACTGAAACTTTAATTAGCCAGACCGTGTTTCAGTGGCAGGCGGGTGGCAGCATTCTAGAAAAGGTCATGCGGCTGTTCTGCAGTCTGCAGCACCCCGGGTTCCCCTCAGGTTTCCCCCCAGATGCTTAGTCCCCCTCAAGCACCCAATGCCTGCTTTCCTGGCCCTGAGCCTCATCAAACCCCGATTATGGAGCTGTGTTAAACATAAATCCTCACATAATGTTGCATTTTATATTATTATATATTATAGAACTCATGTATGCTGGCTTAGTGATTCCTACTCACCAGTATAATGAGCCTGAGTGTTTGCATGCGCATACTCTTGCACAGATCCATGTGAGTACTGGCAGAGAGACAAATCAAAGCTGATTTGTTGGCCTAGGTTTGTTTGGTCACACACATTGAAAAGCAGCTCTTGCCGCCCTGGTTCACCACTATCTCAAAAGCAAACACGCCACAGCCAAAGCGATGCATTCTTGACAACAGGCCATATTGTAGCTGCTTGATTGCAGGCTGTTGCACGCCGCCTGGGAGATGCCAAAAAAATAAATGCCGTCCATTGTGGTTATGACCCTGTCCGCGTGAACCGTAATATTTTATTGCCAAGATTCTGTCACATTTCCAGTACCCTTTATCAAGGCCTCACTAACTGTACAAAGTTCATAGTTTCAATTTTACTACAACAAATCAGAGCTTTACTTTTCTGGATACAAACTCTTTCTTAAATCTGTTCAATGAAAAGTGATCATTTTATACTGTTCTCCTAATGTATAATTTCCTGATTACTAATTAGAAAGGTTGATTCCTACCACTTATTTTCCCAACTGTGTTGCAACATAGAGTAAGTAAGGAAGCTGTGTCTTGCATAAGGATGTAAAAGCTGATCTCATTAGCAGCAGGATGTTATGGCTCTTAATATTGGTTCCATTTTTGTTTTTTCTTTTTGGCAATACTGGCTCTTAAATGTTGACCATATGTAGACATTTTTTTAATCTAATTTAAAGATGTCTAGAGATGTCATGTTTAGAGTCCAACCCCAGCCCTTTACACCCAGGTAACCAAGCCTTAAATTGCAGAACCCAAACATCCATTCAACAACTGAATATGCGATTATTTTAAATACTAAGGGCCAAGATTTCTTTGTGACCAGTCAACTTCCTGTGGTCACAGGGAGCAAAAGTAAAGTCCGAAGTACACCAAAGTTCTCACAGCGATTGGAGTTACATGCCGCGAGCTGTTGAATGAGTGATTAAATGGATTCGGGTGGGTGCTTAATCTCTGTTTTATTCAGATGGCTGGTTGTCGGGGTTCTCTGCAGCCGTCAGACTGATATATGGGCGTAGAGAAGAGGCCAAAGGAGTGGGAAGGGATGTTGGCTAAACACCCAGATAGTGAGAAGCCTTCCTGCTTGCCTTGCTGCCTGTATGATTGGACGGGATGAAGGGATGGAGGGACGGAGGGACGGGGAGAACAGCCGGTTCTCTGGGAAAAATTCCTTGGCCGTACCAGCCACTTTGAGGCATTGGGCCAACCCTAAGCCCAATAGCAACCCCATCCAACTCAAAGATAGGTGCAGCCAGCACATCCAAAACAAACCTCTAACCCTTTAAGACTGACTTTATACGCACACTTAACAGCTAGCTATTATGTAGCACCCAATCCACCACCCAGGAGAGGCATTGAGAGGAGGGAAACAGGTTGTTGGATAAAGGGTTTAATGGTAGAATGAGAGGGGTTTCATTTTTTCTTTACAAGGGCCTGCACCTGGAATAACAGGGACAAATCAGTTCACATTTTTTTGCCAGTGGCCCAAATCCATAACTCATACTGCCATGAAAGCAAAAGCCCCAAGAGGTACCTAAAGCCCCCTGCTTATAACTTCCTCCTATTTCTTCTTATGTGCTTGCTCCTTTCCCTCCCTTTTCTTTTGGTTCTCCTCACCCCATATTTCGGTCCTGGACCAGCCACAGCTGTGCCCTCAATCACACTGGCTTTTGCCTCTGTGCCACAGCTTGATCAAACAAATAGAACGAGCCAAATCAAGAGCTAATCACCACCAATTGTCCAAATAACCTTTCCTGTGTGTGCTGAGGGAATGGTAAAGGGGGAGCTGGAGACTGAGAAGAGAGAGGGGGCGAGAGAGAGACATAAGGTATGCTAAGTAGAGGAGCTGAAGGGAGGAGAAGAAAGGGGTGACCCTGGGACCACCTGTTTTATGGAGCAGTGGTCTGGGCACTCAGCAGCGCCAC